GGCGGCCAGCGAGGCCCACTCACCTCGCCACCGCCTCCACCGAGCCGGCGATTGGCGTGCCACCATCCGCGCCGCCGTCATACAGCACGCCCGAAATGTCGAGCAGCACCCCGCGCACGCCTGCTAGCCGCTCGCCCCAGGAGGCCATTGAGCCCTGAGGTGTACTTCACCCGGTGTCCCAATCCCGGCTGCGGCTGCGACCGTACGCGCCGCGCAGGGGTGCTTGGGAAATGTAGTCCGATGGGGCGGGGCCGGCGGGGTGGGGCGGGGCTCAACCTGGAGGGCTGGTCTGGGGCGCTGCCTCTGTCATGGGGGTCAGGCGCCTACAAAGTGGGAGTCCTGGCTCCAGGAGATCACTGAGCAAAAGGAAGAGAAAACAAAATACAAGCTCCCAAAAGGAAAGTCAGTGTCCCTCAAAATCAAAGGCATCTGTAAAAATAGCAGAAATTAAGGGCAACAGCAAGTGGTGTATGTCCTCCCAGGGGGCCACAGCCCTCAGAGCAAGGATGGTTGGAGTCTTCAGACAGACAGTCCCGGGCCTGATTCCCGAGGCCCAGCCGGTGACTGCGGTCTGAACCATATGTCGAGCAAGCTGAGAGAAAAGTGCATGTTCAGGAACCTGACTTAGAGAATTTCTGACGTGGCTGTAAGAGAAATACTATGCCATCCAAAACGAAGAGTCGGCGACAACTTGGAAAACGCTCGTGGTAAATATTAGATGAAAAGTCGAATACAAAATTGCGTGTGGATGGCAACCCTGCAAAAATTACGATGCACAGGGATGGGACGCGGCCCAAAGTGGGCATGAAGCAAACGACGTGCTGGACTCAGTGAGACTCGGGGTGAGATTTTTAGACGTTCTTAACAGAGCGAGTCAAGTACACCCTCAGCACAATTTTATTCCTAGAAGAGTCAGTTCTCACTACATATTCGTGATAAAACATGATGGCTCACATGTACTGAGCTAAGCTGTATGCCGGCCCTCGGGGTGCAGGAAATTTAGTTACAGTCTCTTCAAATCAAGACTAGGAGGAAACTAGACATGCACCCTTGGGTTTCTGAACAAATGGAGCCCAGGTCCACTAGCCATAAAGATGCAGCCCCAAGGCTGTGGGCTCTTTGGGCCAGGGAAGGCAGCCGTGGCTTCTGGGCAGGGGTGGCCTGAAGTGGACCTTGAAGAATGGCTGGGCTTTCGCTTCCTACAGTGGAGGAGGAAGGACAGTCTGCCAGGGCCAGAACTCTCCCTTTGCCCTGGCTGCTGTCTCCAGTAGATGGAATAAAGGCCCCTCAGAAAAGCCCACGACCTGACCCCCCAAAGGCTGTGGACCTATGACCTGGCAAGGCAAAACAACTTAGCTAAGAATCTTGAAATGGGGAAGACTCTCTTGGATGATGCAAGTGGGCTTAATCTAACCATAAATCCTTTTTAGGGGAAGGGACAGACAGGAGACATGACAGCAGAAGCCAAGGCCAGCGTGACATGAAAATGCTCTATTGCTGCTTGAAATGAACAGGGCCAGGAGCCAGGGACTGCAGGTGGCCTCTAGGAACTAGAAAAGGCAAAGAAAGGGAAAAATTGGCTCACAACATTTCTGGGGATGTAATGGGTAAAGGACATGGTAGAAGTCAGGAATGCATTTGGCTGCAGGTAATAGAAACCCAACTAGAGTCACCACTGAAGAGAGTTACAGTTTTTTGCAGGTCAAAAAGCCAAAAGGAAGCAGCCTGGTGGGTACCGCACCTCTCGGGGGCCTTGGGGAATAGGCTCCCTCTGTAGCTCTCCTCCATGAACTTCATCCTGTAACTTTTGCCTTCGTGCTCTCAGGATGCCTGCCGCAGCCCCAGACATCACATCTGCATTTTGGGTGAGAAGGGGAAGAAAAAGGGCACATGACAACTGGACTGAGTGTCCCCAACCCCAGTCCTATGGGCAACTATTTATGTCTTTGGGGCCAGAACGAGGCAGGTGGCATTCATCGCTACATGTGCAGGGCTGTGTATTTCATCCCAGGACACTGAACCTGTTGTGTTTCCAAATACAATTCATAAATTATGTGTTTCAACACAACTGTGAATCCCCCCAGCCCTCTATTGCGATGGTGCCCGTATGTATAATCCTTCAAGATGTGCTTGTATTTACTAGAACTCTTTGGTTGCCAGGGACAGAAATCCAATTTCAAGGGCTCATCTTTATTTATTTTAGATTTATTTACTTATGCATATAAGAGCTTTGTGGAGGCCAGAAGTGTGAGAAGATTGACCAGAGACAGAGTGGGAAGCAGAACAGGTAGATCCACTGAAATCCACTGCAGGGGAGCAGCGGGGAGACAGGAGAGATCTGCTGTACCCTGAGGGTCCCTGGCTGGGGATTGAACTGGTGCTGCAGTAGTTGGCAACAGCTTGATAGCACTGTCTTTAAATCCTGTGCCACCAGGGAGGCCCTGCAGGGTGCTTATATTTGAAAGGAATCTTGGTTCATGTAGCCAGAGTCTAATTACCCCTGGTTCTGGGTAACTGGCTCTGAGGCTCCAGTGATGGCACTATGGGCTTCCCACACCTCCATTTCTAGGCTTGCCCGCCTCTGCAGCTTGCCCACCTCTGCAGTTTGCCTTCCTTTTCTTTCACAAGGCCAAGTTTCCTCCAGGCAGTCAGTTAGTAAACAGCTGTGATGGTTTCAGTCCCAGGCAAAGCAGGCAGGAAAGATCATTTCCCTCGACTTGGTCTGGCAGTTCCAGAAAGCACTCTGGTTGTCTCTCGTGTGTGCCCAGAGGAATGTGGCATGAGATGATCCAACCTGCTGAAGATGCCCTCCAAGACACGGAAGCCAGATGGGATGAGGGCTGAGAAGTCCCAGCAAATAAGGGCGGAGAGCCGAGAGTGTTCCACGCATGCATGTCCTGAAATCCAGACCGCTAGGTGATGTATTAGGAGGGGCCTTTGGGAGGTGACTAGGTCCTGAGGACAGACCCTTGCTTGAGGGGTGCTGTTCTGTAAAGGAAACCCCAGGGAACTAGCTCATCCCTTTCACTATGTGAAGACGTGGCGCCTGCTGCGGGGTTGTGGGAGGGCTGGTCTCCAACCCCCAAGGGGCTTTTACCAAAATCCAACCAGACTGCAGTCTGACCTTGGACTTCCAGCCTCCAGAACAGGGAGCCGTTCTGCTGTTTAGAGAACACCCACTCTGGGATTTTTGTTGTCACAACCTGAGGACTAAGACAAAGAAGGAGGAGGGGGAGTGCAGGCAAGGTGAGCGGTGTCCCCCCCCACCCCCCGGAAGTGAGCCAGGTCCGGGGGCGGGGGCTGAGGGATGCTGTCTCTTATGGGGATGTCCAGTGAGAAAGGAGAGTAGGGCAGGTCCCCACAGTGGGTCCTGACAGGCTTCTCCAGCTAGTGCCCGAGGGCGTGGAGGGCCGGTTAAAGCACAGGCCTGGCTATTCAGCAGAGCTGAGCTAGGCCCAAGAGCAGGCAGGCCTAACATGTCCCCAGCGGTACTGATACTGCTGGTTTCAAGGTCTAGTCCAGTTTCTCCGATTTTAAGGTGCTGACTAAAATGCATATGCTGACTGGGCAGGACAGGTCTCTGGGCACATCCTGAGACCCTCCATTTCTCACAAGTCTTCAAGTGCCAGTACAGCTGGCGCCCAGCCCACGATTCCAGAACCCCCGTGTGGATTCACGCCCTGGCAGCTGTGACCACCTACGGTCCTGAGATTGGCTTGTTTTTTCCTAAAAAGTTATCACTTTGCCGAGAAGGACAGTGTGTTCTAGACCCTGCCCACATGTTTGTGTTGGTCAACGGAGGTGCTGACTGTCCAGGTCATAAACTATGCTCACCGCTGGCTCCTTCCTGTCACTGCTTGGCAGGACCTCCTCACCCACAGCGCAAGTGCTTTTGAGCAACATGGGCAAAGGTTTGTGGGCGGGGACACTTTCCTGGAATCTCCATCTTTCTTTGGCCTCTGGCTGTGGAGTCTCCTGTTACCTGTTTGTGCAAAATGCAGGGAGTTGGTGGCTTTGAATTAGCATGTGCAATTGTTAAGATCTGCCCTTGGGAGCTGACAGGACACGAGATACCTCTTATTGAAGAGACTGTTGACAAAGGTGTGGACCCAGGGGTGTGGAGAAAGCAAGAGAACTATTTCTGGAGCCCAGCAACAGGGGGACATTGACCATGGCTGGGCCTGGGCATTCTTAACACAACCTATCACTGCCAACCTGTAGCTGGGGTGGTGAGGGTGAGGGAACAAATAATTTCTTTCCTCCCAGCTTTTCCACCCCAGCATTTTTCTTTTGCAAACGGCCTCTTGCCCAGTCTGAGTGACCGCCATAAATGCTTGGCCAAGGCAAAAGCCCAAGAAAGATCAGCTACTATTGTTAAGGCTAATTGTCATTATCAGGGGCAATTAACATGTATTCTGCTCACCAATATAACCCCTATTGCTTCATTACCTTCTTTGATGCTTCCTCTGACAAGATAAGTCTCAGATAAAGAGATTGTTGTTTTAACCTGTTGACTTGCAAGGAAAAAAAAAAAAACACCTGATTTCTTAAAGCAAAATACGTTGCATAAACATTTTAATCCGGTGCAGCCCAGGGGAAGCTGGAAGGCTGTGCTTGGAACTTTCCCGTATCAGTCTCCTTTCCAAGATGGGGTTGTAAAAGGAATACTTGTTCTGGTGGCACTGGGCCAGCAAAGTCTGGTGGGAAATGGTCTCTGCTTGCCTTTAATTGTAAATGAACTCTGGGCAAGGCAAGGAGGGCCAGAGTGGAGTAGACATTTAACAAGCGATTGTGCTGCGGTTTCCTTTTCAAATCCAGCGCCTCCTCACTCCCGTGTTGTAGACAGGCCTGGCTGGAAGTCGTAGGTCTCGGGGAAGCTGGCAGAGGTCTTGAGCACTGGATAGTTGACTTGGTCACCAAGCTGTGCCTTATGAAGTTGTCTCTTTGGCATATCGTGCTTTGGCATATACGGTTGTCTGGCTCAAAATGCAGGGTTTTACCTAGAGAATTCCAGTTGTGCTTTATTTCAGGAACAAGATTTTATCTAAGGAGCTTAAGCACATCTCACAATGTTGCTCTCCCTGCATAAAGGGCAGCCGCCTCCTGTCATTAATGGGGAGCCTGGCTGGGCTGTCACCATGCAGGGCTGAGCTGGAATCACAGGCCACTTTGTTTGCAGAATAACCAGGAAGCTTGGCACCATTGATTTGCATCAGTGCCTCGGGAATAGCCTTTGCCTTCTCCTGAAAGATACTATCTAAACTGTGAAATTCATTAAATAGTCCCCGAAATGGATCAGGTTATTTAACACAACATCCCTAATGGCGCAATACCTCAGCTGTCCGCACTGATAGGGAACATTGTCTTGGATAGTGTTATCAGCCCGGGACACCCGCTATGAATATTGATCCCCAGCTTGTTCCAGCCATCACTTGCCATCAGGACAGGTCAGGGTTGGAACCCACCTAGCATCAAAGCAATTTAAAGACAGTACTCAAGCGGAATTTTAATGTCTGCGCTGAAAAAACAAATCAACTCCATGTGCACAGGGAAGCGGCTTGCTGGGTATGGAGATCCTTGTTTATGGGAATATTTTGGGTGTAAATGCACATGTGAGAACACTAGCAAAAGGCCAGGTTGTCAAATTACATCTACAGCAGGTCTCACTGCCTCTTGGTTATTGACAGAGCAGGTGGCCAGAAAACCCATGCCCTAAGTCTCCCCACCCCATCACCAAATTAAAGAATGTAGCCTGCTCATTGGAGTGTGTGTGTGTGTGTGTTGGGTCAGCTTTAAGTTGGGTAAAAGGGGCATCTTTTGTGTGTAGAAGAACTGGGAAGCAGGCCAGAGGTATGAGGGTGAGAGGAGGCACCAGAGAGGAGGGAGTAGAACAGGCAGAGCCACTGAAATACATGACTAGAACACGACTAACGGGAGCAGGGGAGACAGGCGCGGTCTGCCACACCGTGTGGGTCCCTCCCTGGCGGGGGGTCGAACTCGCGCCATAGCGGCCACAGTGCTGAGACTCTCTGTGTTCCTCTGTGTTCCTTCTGTGTTCCTCTCAGACAGGCAGTGCTCCCTCTTTCTTAGCAATTTCTGGAAGCCAAGGTCAGAGCGCCAGGGTGGCTGCATTAAGCACACACGGAAGAAATTTAGGAAAGTAAAGGGCAAGGAAAGTGAAAATAACTGAAAGAAGTTCTTAAAGGTTCATAGTCTTAAAGGCTCTTGTATCTTCTTGAATTTTTCTCCAGTTGCTACTTCTCCTTTTTACATGAACACCTGTGGACCTAAAGAAAAGCTGATTTATGCCATTTAAAACCAAACATTGAGGCAATATGTAAAGTGAAGGAACACCACCCAGGTCTGGGCCACTCTGGGCTGTGGCCAGCAGGGTGGGGGTCTGGGGTGTCAGCCCCTCCCCGGAGCGCAGCCTCAGAGTGCCCTTGCAGAACGGGGGAGACCATGGGGACCCTATGGGGACCCGCAGATCCTGACTCTGGAGATACCTGAAGGTAACCTATTTCTAGTTACCCCCAAGAGCCTAAATAGGGAAAATCATGAACGTGGGTGGAAAAAGTAAAGGGGAACTGGGCTAGATTAAGAAATAAATAAATAAAGGGAGGAAACAGCACCCTGGCAGGTCTCTGGAAGGTTCTGTGATTTGCGCCCGGTTCCTGGGCCCCACTGTTTGACGGGGGGCGGGGGGCTTCACGGGGCGGGCTCTCCCGAGCTGGGAGGTGGGCCGTGGGCCGGCCCGGCACTTCCTTTCTCGATTTCCTTTGAAAGCACCATTCATCTTTGCTTGAGGACTGGCGCTGCCGTGAATTTCGGCGCGGCTTTAAAGTCCAGGGAGGACACGGCACTTGTGGTACTTGTGGGAGGGCCTGAGGTTTGAATGAGAAAAGCTAGGAGCGGGCCTCCGGGGCCGCTCCTCAATAACAGATGGGATTAGCGGCCCCACCCTTCCAGGCCGTCCCCTCCCCTGAGCCCGCCTTACCTGCTCAGACAATATTAATTGCCAACTCATTGTTTGGAAGCCCCATGGGGCAGGGAAGAAAGGGACTGCGGCGTTAGAGGTGGTCTGGGCGCAGAAGAAGCCTCAGAATTTGCCGCCGAGATAATGTTTCGTCCTCTGGCTCCACTAGCCGCCAAAGGGGAAAAGGAATGCGACAGGGCGTGGCTGATGGCAGCTGCCCGGCGCTGACGCTGCCGTCCGCGGGGTTCCGTGGAGCCCAAGGGGGCTGCTGGATTCGTCTCCATCCTCTGACCTCAAATTCAAGTCAGAGGAGCTTTCTCTCTCTGGGCCGAGAAAGGGGATAGGTGCGAAAGGTGCCTCCTGACCGCGGCACCCTCAGCCACCGCACCCGGCTCTGGGGTCACCTTGGCGGGGGCCGGGTCATCCCTCAAAGCGCCTCCTGCTCTCTGGCCAGCTGGGACCCCCGGGGAGGGAAACCTGATCTCCTGCAGGACTGTTTCGCGGGGTTGGGGCAGAGAAAGGAGGCGGAAAATCTGGGTTCGAATCCCGACTCTGTCACGGACAACTGACTCGGGCAACTCGTTTCTCATGCCTGAAACTCAATTTCGTCTTTAGAATGGGGGAGCAGTCCTGCCAGGCCAGTCTGCCCAACGCACAGGGGTGCTCTGGGATTCAAACGCGAGGCGCCATCTAAGGGCTTTGTAATCCGCCAAGTCTGAGGGGCCGGTCAGAGGCTGTCACTGACTCACTGGTAGAGTGGGCGCCACTGAGCGGGTTCCCGCAGCAATCAGTGCTGGCCTCGGCCGCATCTCTGTTCCAATCTGGGGCCACCGGAGAAAGGCGCAAACCGAAAGGGGAGAAACACGGGGGTGCATGTGCGTGGACCCCTAGATGAAAGCGCCCCGACCCGCCCTCGCACACCCGGAGTCCCAGGCAGCCGGGCGGAGGCGCGCAGAGCAGCGGGCGCGCGCCCCCAGCTCCTCCAGACGCCCCCTAGCCGAGGGAGGCCCGTTGGGTGCGGCGCTCGTAGTTTCTGGGCCGCTGCCGCGCTCCCTGCACGTGGCGGGGCTCGGGTCGCGCAAGTGCCAATCCGCGCGCAGCCCCCCGCGGCTCTCCCCCGCCCCCTCCCCAGCTCCGCCGAGCCGCCGCGACCCTCCTCGCCGCTGGACAGCTGCGACCCAGTCACAGCCGAAGGCGAGCGGGAGCGCGGCTCTCTCGGACCCGGTGCCGCCGGCCTCCGGTCCGCGGGCGGCGGGCATGCTGGCATGGCAGCACGGCGGGGCCAAGGCGGCTCCCGCTCACCACAAGATCTCCTTCTCTGTCCTGGACATCCTGGACCCGCAGAAATTCACCCGCGCCACGCTCCCAGTCGCGCGCCCTGCCCTCCCGGAAGCCAAGAAAAGTTTGGCAGAGGCCGAAGAGGGGAAGGACGCCAGCCTGGGGGACCTGGCCGGGCATCGCGAGAGCCCTGGTAAGGATGCGCTGGAGGCGGCCCTCGGTCCCGGGAAGCCTGGCCCCGAGGATGCCATGGAGGGCGGCTGGGGGGGGGGGGACGACGACAATTTTCTCCCCAAAGGGACAAAGCGAACCCGACAAGGCGCAAAGTGTTGCCCCAGTCTCAGGATCGGAGGGTGCTGAAAAGAGGCGCTAGCCTGCTGGGCAGGGGATTCGCCACCAAGCCTGTCCCTGCCGGGGTGATTTGTTCCTAGTGGAACAGTGGGCACTCTGCCCGGGTCTTTTATTTATGGGACGCTCAGTGTGCGCCAGGACCTGGGCTGAAAGTCACAGGAAAACTTCAGAAGGCGAGAAGCAGCATCGTTGGCACCGTCCATTACATGGATGAGGGCGCAGAGGTTAACACTGGGGGGGGGTCTTAGAGAGTGGCCAGGGGAGGTTTAGCACCCGGTGATCCCTTCCAGACATCCAGAGACACCTGCAGACTCCCCTGCCTCCCCCACATCGCCCCCCCACCCCTATCTTGGGGAAGAAAAGAGGTGAGGGGAGGTTTTGTCCCTTCTCCTCCAATCCCTTTCTGACTCACTTCTGACTCTAGGGGACACCAGATGAGGGAATCCAGGAAAGTTTGTGTCTGCAAGGAAGGACAAAAGATGGGCTTGGGCTGGAGGTTCCCACCTGGAGGGACTGGAGGGTCAGGGACGGGGGTCGCAGAGAGGCGGTCAACACGCAGCCCTCCCCCTCCTCGCCCCCCCCACCCCGTTTGGCGGTGATTGTCTGGGGCTCCGTGCGCCCCTGGCGGCTGCGTTTGGGCCCCCGCGGTCCGCCTGGTAATTGTTCGGATCGCCCCTCCGAGTTCTCCTCCCCCGTCCCATGATCGATATTCTATTACTGGCGCCTGCATATCTCCGGCCCGCAGCTTGCAGGTACCGACTTCAAACCCCCTTTCCCTGTCTGATCCTAATATTGTTCGATTAAAACTTACCTTTAATAGATGACATCTATCGATTCGGCCCCGCACAAATCTGAAACTCTATTAACACAGCAGGAGAGAGAAGATGGGAAAGGGGGAATTTCACTTTAAAAAAGGGGGGGGGAGTTTAATAACTTCTTTTTTAATTGCTAGGAGTCCCAGACCAAAATAGGCTTCGAGGGCCTGGGGAGCGACAGCCCCCAACACCCTTGACGTCTCGGTATCTTAATGTGCGCCCCCCACCCCCGCAGGGACCCAGTAATGTCTTTTTCTCTCGACTCAGGTGTCACTCATTCAATATCCCCTTCTTGGACGCCTGCTGGGTGACAGAGGGCAAGGAGGTGCTGAGCCCCTAAACCTCAGTTCCCGGAAGCGCTGGGCAGGCTATGCTGGAGTGGGGGGCCGCGAGCCTGGGACAGGGGCAGCGCGGGGGGCCGGACTGGGAGGTCAGCGCGCTCAGGGGTGCAGGGCGAGGAATCTGGCCCGCGCGACCGGCCCGCCGCTCCGGGCGTCTGGTCACCACTGCGTTCTCCGCAGGTGCCGCCGACCCCGGCGCGGGGGCGGCGTCCCCCCTGGAGGGC